TAGCCGCCGTCTCCATGAGCTCCAAAGCTCGCCACCGCCATACCTCATCGCCGCCGTGGGCTGAGCTTGAACCGCTCGCGGCTGTGCACCTAAACGTGCTCCCGGTGCCTCCAGGAGGCCAAAGCAGCCACCAGATGGCCCCCTAGCACCTCGTAGCCCCGTGCCCGCATGCGCCCGTACTCCGGCCGCCGCCCGGCTCGCCGCCACCGCCGCTACATGCCACCCCAACACCTACCGCTGCCACCACTTGATGCGCGCCACTGCGTGCATTCAAACGCAATAGACCGTGACCAAAATGATGCCCTGTGGCTCATTTCCTAGCCCCTCCGCTGCGCCTGTCGTCGCCGGCGTCGAGCCGCCGGCGAGTTGACCTCGTTTCCCCTGGGTCAACGACCGATGTGCCCAGGCCCTTGCTTAATTAGTGTTAGGTTTAATTAGTGCTAATTAACTTAGTTAACCCACTGACTCGCTGACATGTGGGCCCAGCCCTGGTGACATTTAGTTAGTGTTAGCTTAGCGCTAATTAACTCAGTTAATTAACTGAGTCACTGACCAACGGGCCCCACTGGTCAGGTTTGACCTGGACCGGGTCAGTTGACCTGCTGAGGTCAGCATGACACAATGCTGACATAGTAATAGGCTTTTCTGGATTTATTCTTATTCAGGAAATTCTAGAAAATAGCTAAAACTTCTAAAATTCATAGAAATTAATCTGTAACTCAGAATGAAATAAGTTATATATGAAAAATGGTCAGAAAATCCAATCTATCCATCTGTACTGGTTTCATGCATGTTAGAGCAACTTAACCTTGTTGTTTAGGTCAAACATGTTAATGCACTTATATGAACCCATAACTTGAGTTTGTATTTGAATCTTGGGTTCAAATAAGCTCAAAACCTTCTGGTTGTAGTTGCATTAGCCCAACACACTCATATTGCCATGTCATAATCATGCATCATATTGTGCATTGCATTGATTGTGTTTCCTCTCTGTTGTCGGTGGTTGTCCCCTCTCGATAGACGTATCCCGACGATGAGTTCGATGACACCGATGAAGAACTATACTATCTTCAGAAGTGCCAGGCAAGCAAAACCCCCTTGCTCATTCCGATACAATCCCACTCTCTCGCTCCTGCTCTCTTTTACTGCATTAGGACAACAACGATTCAATTGTTACATGCTGCGGTAGTTGAACCTCTTTCCCCTGCATGATCTGTCATTGCCACAGTAAATAGATGAAACCCACTAGCATGAGTAGGAGTTGTTTGAGCCCTGATGTGCCTAGTAATTCATGTTTGTTTGTCATGCCTGCTATTGCTTAGAGTTGTGTCAGGTCTGATTCATCGGGGATGAATTGGAAAGTTGTGAACATGTCCTACTGTGTGTGAGCTAAGTGTGTTGAACATGATTTGGTAAAGGTATCGATGAGAGGCCATGTAAGAGTACATGGTGGGTTGTTTCATTGGAACCGTCCTTAAGCACTGAGATCTGTATGTGTGATTTAAGAATCAGCTACTACCATGCATTGGGATCCTTAATTGACCCTCTCGGCTTCTTAACCACCATAGTCCTCTGTCCAGGAGTTGCAACTAGTTTCTGGTGTTTATAGGATATGTGTTGGTGGCCGTGCGTAGCGCTGACCCCAGGGGTGGGCTATGATGCGGTAGATACACCATGGCCGGGCATGCCGGGCGCCCGTTTGGTGTCTCAAAACCCTGTACACACCGTTCGGGGCCGTATGAGGAAACCTCGGCCAGACTCCTTGCGGATGGAACCTGGATAGGCGATAAACCTAGACTAGAGACTTGAGTGTTTAGGTAGGCCATGGCCGACACCCTCGTTGGGCTTCCGCTTGAAGGTTGTCGAGTACATGTCGTGTAAACGGCGGTAAGTGGTGAGAGCGTGTGTGAAGAAATACACCCCTGCAGGGTTAACATCATCTATTCAAATAGCCGCGTCCGCGGTAAAGGACTACTTGGTTGCCTATACAGTTCATAGACAAGTGAAAGTGGATACTCTAAAATGCGCAAGATAAGCGTGAGTGCTATGGATGGCCTTCTCGTAGGGAGACGGGAGCGGATCCATAGTGGTGTATTGATATGGTGAATATGTGGACTCGTGTGCGCCACCTCAAAAGAGTTGCTTGCAGTCGTAGTTCAGGTTAGTCACTGAGTCAAAGCTGGCTTGCTGCAGTTAAACTCCACTACCCCCTTTGTTGATACCGATGCATCTGTAGTTAGCTCTGATGTAAGTCTTGCTGGGTACATTTGTACTCACGTTTGCTTAATTTATGTTTTGCGGAGAGACTTTAGTCTCGCTAGTAGTTCCATGTGGACTTCGACGTTTAGCTTGTTACCTCAGCTACGATCTTGTGCCCTCGGCAGGATCTGGTAGATAGTCAGACTTCTCAGCCTTTTTCATTTGTAAATGTCTGTACTCAGAAATGTTAAGTTTCCGCGTGTGCTTTGACTTGTATACTCTGAATGTTGGGTCATGAGACCAGTGTTTGTAATATCTCGCTCCTCGGAGCCTGATAAATAAATACTTGAGTCATAGAGTTATGTTGTGATGCCATGTTGTATTTACACATATCGAGCATATTGTGTGTATGATTGAAATGCTTGGTATGTGTGGGATCCGACAACCTAGTTGTTTATCCTTCGTAGCCTCTCTTATGGGGAAATGTAGTCTTGTGCTTCCATGGGCCATAGTAGTCCGCTACAGCCCGGTTCACCGGAGTCCTGCTAGCCCAGTACTACTACTCCGGAACACTTGACTGGCCGGCATGTGATTCACTTCGTTCCTGTGTCTGTCCCTTCGAGGAAATGTCACGCGGTGACATCCGGAGTCCTGTTAGCCCAGTGCTACACCCCGGATTCGCACGCTGCTGACCAGCATGCTCGATGTTGATTCATGTATGTCTGTCCCCGTAAGTTAGTGCCACTTTGGGTTCACGACTAGTCATGTCGGCCCAGATTCTCTATCATATGGATGCTAGCGACACTATCATATACGTGAGCCAAAAGGCGCAACGGTTCCGGGCCATGGTAAGGCGACACCCGTGAAAATACCGTGCGTGAGGCCGCAAAGTGATATGAGGTGTTACCGGCTAGATCGATGTGACTTGGAATCGGGGTCTTGACAATTTTACATATATGCACTTCAAAAAGTGAAATTCGAATTTTAGTACATGTTCTTTTTTACAAATTTTTCTGGATTTTTTTGAAACTGAGAAATTTAAATTTTGAATTTTTAAAAAGTTCCGGCCTCCATGAAGGCCGGCCTTCAAAACTCCCTACTCGAACAAAGTACTTTATTCATATAAGAAAGATACACATGTAGTGTGACATAACGGGCTTTGTAAAACAGAAAAATAATAACCCTTAACCCCAACGAGTTGCTGTTGACGAGAACCACCCAAGCCGAGAAGAGCATCGCTGCAGTGATGTTTGACGCTTCAAACCCCAAAGATCACGCATACCCTAGGTCGGCCGGAACAAATTCACTATTTAACTGGTTCCCTCGCTCCACTCGACCGACCGCTAGCTCGCCAACAGTACGAATGTAAATAATATGAATAATTCCAACGGATATGATTGCGGATACGAATTTTGAATTACCTGATATGATATCTATAATTATCCAATGGATATTTTTGCCATGGATTGTACCAAAGTGTCCCATGCCTTCCATGCCATCACCTCCCATGGCACTCATGTTGCCTCTCATACTTCCTGTGCCACCTTCCATTACGCTCATCAAACCACTTATGAATCCTCACGTTCCTCCCATTGCACCTCCCATTGCACCTCACATGTCGTCACCCATCGCACCTCCCATGCCGCCACCCATAATGTTCATGTTCATCGTCATCATCATGGACTTCCTCGCCAACATTTGATCTTTACATAGCTCAACATAAGCCTTTTGCTTCGCGTCAAGACCTTTTTTTTCTTCTTTCTCCTCGGTCGCCTTGAGAGATTCTCAAGCGCCACCTTCCTCTCCTCTAGCTCCACCTTGCATTGCTTGGCCGTCGCCCTCTTCTCCTCGGCGGTCGCCCTCTCCTCATTAGCCGTCTTCCATAGCTCGGCCGCAGCCCTCTCCTCTATTTCCTTCAACACAAGAGCATCTTCTCCTTGCATCCTCCTTTCTTGCCGAGGCTCTATCGAACATGACAAGGAGGGTAGGAGCAACGGCGATCGTTGCGGGGTCAGGCACGATGTCAAATGCCGGCAAGGGAGGCGGGGAGCCAGTCATGTGCGCGTGGGAGGGGGGGGTATGACAACCACGGAAGTACCATATATTTGCATTACTTGAAGCCTTTTATTTGGCTGCCCATAATTTTTACACTATTATAGGGCGGCTATTGGAGATGCTTTAACTTCTCTGAGTGGAAGGGGGATTGGTCCCCAGAATTCTTCAAACGAGGAAATCAAAAGGAGAGGGGGTGGATTCATAGTCCAGCGTAAAAAGAGAAAAGAAACGCACGTTCTCATCAGAAAACTGTCCCGAAAAAGAATCATGGAGTGCTGCGACAATCATCAGGATAACTAATCATCATGGGGTAACGAAAATATCATATCCGATGCACAAAAAACATATTCATGTAGCACAACCTCTTCGCATCTTAACACGAACCATGTCAGACTTATCACGGCAAAACCAACCGTGTTTAGATACAAGTACTTGGCACTAAAACTAAAGGTTCCCATAGCATCTTCCATGGGTTTAAAACAAAAATCTATACCCATCACCGGTTTCATTTTAAGTCGAAATGATTGGGCAGTGATATACTGTACAAGAGGGCACATGGCAAAAATTTGGCACCACGCCAATGCTTTCGTTGGGCGCAACACTAAAAAGAATAGCAATGGCTAGAGAAAAAACATATATCTATTGGGTACCGAACTGACAAACCCAAAGGCGGAATGATGTGTTGCTACCAGCACATCCGCTGGCTCAATCACTACTAATCCGGGGGATGATCGTGAAAGGCAATATCAAAACCCATTGCCACTGAAAGGTTGTTGCTGCTCCCCAGAGTGGCTTGATTTCCTAGGCCTTGTTTGCTTCGGAGTCGAATATGGTGAGCTTCCATCGTAAACCCCATGGACCCGTGGTAGACCCGTCGCATCAGAATCCAGGGAATAGCCCCTCTCGACTGTCTCCGCTTCAAGCGGTATCTCGTCCAAAGTCTGCATCAAGAAACACAAGGCACAAAACAGGTCAGATCAAGTATAGTGCGTGACATAATTAGATGGAGATCCGACCAGTTGCGGAAACATACTTTGTAGGCTTGCTGAAGGACCTTAAGAGTATCGCGTATCTGCCTCCTCTTTGTGGTTATTTCGTCAGGTTCTCTGAGAATGTCCCCAAAGAGCTCTTCTCTGCATTGGTATATATGTAAGTATCAATAACTATAATGTACAGCAGCAACAGGAACTAATTTTGCTCTGTTCACCAGACATCATTCAAAATTTCAAGAGTACAAAGTGCCTTCCTCACCTATAAAGGGTAGTTATAAGGAAATTATGCAGCTCCCTTTTCGTGTGATTAACCTGCAAGACAAATCAATCCCTTAAAGAACTGAACTGAAAAACACAACATACTTGGTACTAAGCATTCTGTGCAGCTTCCAGCCACTATGGACTGAGTCACAAGCAAGGAAAAGAAAGAACGGAAGAGATCTGATCAAATCCACATCTTTCTAAACAAAAATGTGTTTTAGAGCAATCTGTGCAATCAAGCTCACAATTAAAACAAATGCTTAAATTAAGAGGAAAATTTAATCATGCTGCAAAGCCACATTAATAACCATGCCCAACAGTGTTTGATAATGCCTCCCAGGGTGTTGAACCTTGCTTGGCAGTAACTGAGACCAGAACATTGCTGGGTTTAATATTTACATTGCTGTGTTTAATATTTATGTACTGTCCCTCTTCTATGCTTACTATGCAACTATGGAAATGGTACAAAAAGAACGTACACAGAAACAGTCATCATACCAGAAAATATAACAGATTGTGCACACAAAAAAAGGTGCAGTAGGCACTCTTAAGTAAATAATTGAGTTGCAAGAATCTTACCAGAAAATGCATAATTGCTTTTGGTACAAAATCCTCGACATTTTTCCTGACTATATTGTAGTATGACTGCAGCAGCAATTTTGTGATTGCTATTTCAAGGTCCTCCTGCTCAGAATGACTTTCTGAAGGCTTGAGGACTAGCGGTGGCTGTTTCACAATGGTCTCCATCAATCACTTAACACGTTCAAATAACACTGGTAGAAAAACTAAAAGAGCATGAATAAGATAGTTCACCTCTTTTAACTGTATTGAAGAGAATGAATGTTCCAGGTTGGGAGTAGCTGAAGCATAAGATTTGTTCGTTGAACCACCTCTTGCTGAAGAAGGTGCGCGGTCTTCGCTTGAGGTGAATATTGAGCCCCAAAAAGAAGTGCTTCCACTACCTGGAAAATAAGCGGTTAAGTAAAATGGGCTGAGGTGGAATTGTACTACTCTTCCAAAAAACACTAAGCTGACATACTGCACTCCAATATAGCAGCATATACATAATCAAAGATACATATCATTTCTAAGACACCCCTTACCTGAAGAACCTGGTCTCTCTGCCTCAGCAGCCGATCGTACCCCCTGCTAATAATGACCACAACAGCAAAGGAGCACAATCTCAGAAACACTCCACCAAATCAGTAGTAACCTTGCTGATTAAAAAATAGCAAGGCAAAAAACCTGGATCTGGTCGGTGATAACTCCATTTACACCAGTGGTTCTACCCAATAATGCACGTGCTTTTTGGGTTTTTTCAGAAGCCTGTGGCCTATCTGCATCTACTCCATCCTGCAATGTAGTACTGTTAAATACTAGGGTGTAGCTCAAAAAATGTGGACTGGTTCGAATTACATATGTAGCTAATGAGTGACAAGAGCATAACTTAGTAAGAGAACATTCATCTGTATATCAACTTGCTAAAGCGTGCCAAAAATATAAATCACATGCCCAAAATCCTTATATAGCACCAGAAATTCTAACATGTACAGCTAGAGTTGGTGTGGCATCCACGCCTTCTCCAAATGATATAAATGGTACACTGACATGTTGATGTGATGATATCCACTGTGGTGGAGCATATAACAGGGTCATCATGAATTGCACTGAGATCATTATAATGAAAAATTCAACATAGTAGAAACATTTATTGAATAATTTCCAGTTTAGCTATATATTTATAGGAATCTTGCCATCGTATATAAGAAACACTATATGCAAATGCATCACTAATTAAGTCTTCTTATAATTCCAAGTTCTGACAGTACATGTCAGTAAGAAATGGAAGCAGTGTGTATCAGTTAAAAAACTCATTTACAAGGCATCACTTGCATAAATTACTTATCTAATACTTAAAAACATATACATACTCTTCTAACCACTGTTGCAGGCAATCTAGCGGCTCTGACTTGTTGCTGTGCTTGTTCTACAGCCTTGCTACCACCGATGAAACTTGGGTGAGATGTGTTTATGTAATCGGCCTGCACAGTTAATATCATCTCAAGTAAAAATAATGAAAAAAGACCAGATATCAGAACAACGAAGGAATAACAAAGGGAACAAATTAATCAGAGCAGAGACTCGCAATAATTTTACAAAATAATCGGTGTTGGGGCTATTAAATAAGAGACGCAGAATTGTGGAGGTGTTTTCATCACTGTATATGGAAGCTCAAGTCAAATAGGGTCAATTCTCATATGTGTTTGTTAGTAGAATCCTTATAAGGCAAGACAGTGTTTACCTCCATCTCAATTATGTGTGCTATCATATCTTGTGCTGGCTTAAGCCCATCCCGTAGAAACTTCCCAATTACTTCATCCATGCTCCTTCTGAGTATAGGAAACTGCTGCAGCTCATTGCTAAGGCAACGGTGGCTCATCTACAGCAGAACAGAAGTTAGCAAGAGAAGTAATAAAATATAGAAAGCTGAAAGTTATTTAACGTTATGTGCAAATTTAACCAAATAGATGCTTAAATTTCAGTTTCCAAGATTTTACAGCTGGACTGACATACCTTAACCAGTTCCTCATATATGAAATCTGCACACTGCAGACTTGGATCAAGCAATCTACTGATTTGCCTGCGCACAAGGACTTCAAATGGCACCTGACAATTTTTTAGCAAAATGAATTATTATCAGCTCAAATGACCAGTATCCAAACCATCTACTCCCTCCGTTCCTAAATATTTGTCTTTCTAGAGATTTCAACAAGTGACTACATACGGAGAAAAATGAGTGAATCTACACTCTAAAATATGTCTATATACATCCGTATGTGGCAGTCCATTTGAAATCTCTAAAAAGACAAATATTTAGGACCGGAGGGAGTATATTAACACAATTCTTACGCGAAGGGCACAAGTGCATCATACCTCAGGTACAAACAAAGCACTCCTAGGACCAGTTGCATTCTGTATAGCCATGCGGATATCTTCATCAGTGACATCCTCGCAAGGGTCAACACCCTATAAAAGACAGAGCTTAGATCTTAATGATAATGGATATGATGAATGCTACGATGTAGCATAACGGAAGATTTGGCAACAAAATTACAAACCTCTAAGCTTTTGACAAAGATAGATTGAAAAATATAGTGAATTCTTGCTCCACCAGAAAGCTCGATTGTTGATATATCTTCATTTTTTCCTTCTACCATAGACGAGAAAGCTGCAGCACACACATGTTATTTAGATTTACAAATAACGAAATATAGCATAATATACATGACTGAAGCAAAGGAGCCAGGAAGGTGGTCATGGTTCAGTTATTACCATCACAGTATTTAGCTAGAATGTTCAAAAGCTTAGCGCCTTGCCCAGCCTGCAAAGATGAAACATAGGGATTGATCATCAAGGCAAAGACCAAAAGAATAACAGAAGCATGATTAAGCAACCAGATTTTACTAGCTGCTAAACCAACCTACTCATATACAAATGTTAACAAAAGAGGTATGTTTCTTATCACTTTGACCAAATAAAATTAATTCACCAGACCTTGGACTCGACTGGGTCACCATAAAAGGCATGCTCCTTAGCAATAGCTGTCAATTGAGAACTTATGCGAGCCTTCAGTCCAGGCAGAATAGTTCTTATATGTTGGACCAAGATCTGAAACCATGTAGATGTATTATTAGTTAAATCACAGCATAAATCTGAAAGTCATATAACATGGGATACAACAGACATCCGCTTCACCAAAATACCTGGTTTAGCTTCTTTGCTAACTGTGGTATCCCACAGTGCTTAGCAAGACCGTTGTATGCCTGAAATGAGTTACATTTCAGAATGATGAAATAAAAAGAAGAACACAAACTGAAGAAACAGTGGACTTCACTGCAGCATACCGGATGAGTACGGAAGAAACTTTCTTCTCGGGCCAGAGCCTGCTTGACACTGACATCTGAATTGATATCCTACATCATTTAGCACAATATACATTAGAAAACTATATAAATGAAAAGGAAGAAAACTTATGTATCACCAAAGACAGTGCTGTGCAATAACAAATTACGTTCAAGACATTCCTACAATCAATACTTACTAGCACAGCATTCTGAAAATGATCTTTGATACACGCTCCGTTCCTAAATACAAGTCTTTTTAGATATTTCAATGTGGACTACATACCAAGGAAAATGAGTGAATCTACACTCTAAAATGCGTCTATATACATTCGTATGTAGTTCCTATTGAAATCTATAAAAAGACTTGTATTTAGAAACGGAGGGAGTACATATAAATAGGGGGCTGTTTGGATTGGAGCCCTGGGCTGCCCGTCCAAAACATTGGTCGTTGACCAGATTTGGTTGCCCGTTTGGATGACTACCCAAAAATTGGCGCGCCCAGACCACCTCAGTTTCTCTAGTTCAATCCTACGCCAATTCGTTGGCGAGTTATCGGCGGCAGATTCGCTCGCCAATCTTTTGGCTAGCCCAGGTTTGGCGGGGCTGGCAATGGCACGAACCAAACAGCCCCTAGGTGTTAAGTTCGCCATTTCTTTTACACCAGGTGTTAAATTCACCTAAGTTAGTTAGGGTTGTTAACAACTATTTATCGACAGGCAACAGTCCACAATGACACAAAATTAGTAAATTACTTCATCTGAAAATGAGCACAGCGACCACAAAGTTGGGCCACTACCAAACTTGCAAAAGAAAGCGATGTCATGAGGATATTAAGTTATTGATGCATGATCCTTAAACTAGCATGCTGCAAACTGAAGTACCTGCTGGCTGCGGTTTACGACACCAACATAACCAAGTCGTAATGGGATGACATTTCCCAACAAAAAATTCCGGGCATCAGTGCCCCTGTCCATTATGTCCAACTGGAAGAAAACAGAAGAGCAGTACAGATCAGAAGTTGGGTGACATTTAAAGGAGTATATTTTAAGGTTCAGGGGCAAACCTTTGTGATAACACCAATTGTTCGAGAACCTACATGAACAAAGAATCCACCAAGTAAGATTTGCATCTTAACAGAAATGGGGTCTATCAAACTAAACACATGACTTCGAGAGGCATACATACCATCAGGATCAGCTTGCCGAGCCATTTGAAGAGCATCAGAGTTCGCTAAATCTGCATTTGCTGGAGAAACAGCCAATATGATGCATGTCTTGTGCTTGATATATGACAATATCATAGTCCTTATTCTGGCCTCGATGTCAGTTGGTTGGTCGCCAACTGGCACCTTGGTAATTCCAGGCAGATCGACCAAAGTGATGTTGAGAACATTTGGCGAATAGATCTTCAGACGTATCTGCCTATCTGAGACGCCCTTGTTACCGCCAGCCTCCCTGTCCGTTTCTGCCTGCATCGATGTTGAGTTTTATCATTAACAGGTATTACCATGATTCTAGTTATTAAAACCAAGTCAGTGCACTACACGATTCTCTGCCCCAGATTATAATTTGTCACTAAACTTTCCAGCACTTCTTTCAAACAAAGAATAGAGTAATTGAACAGTATCAGCCGTTGGATCAACGTCACTGAATATACACAGCAATAATAAAATTTCGAAACAATACTATCATTCGAGGATACCGTTAAGACGTTCAATGTTCAAACGAACAATATACCCCAGAATGCAGCAATACATAAAGGGCACTACATATATCCAAAAGAGGGCAAACCATAGGCTGTAGAAACAACCACAACCACTAAAACTAAAATCGCCCCAGAAAGCAGCATGGACCTAGCATCAGCACAACCAAATCATGATACGGTGCCAAATAACTGGAATTACCACAATGCCTACCCAAAAGCATCATCTCCCAACCCAAAAAATATGGCAAGGCAGCAACAGCTGTGCTATAGCATATAATATACTCATCAAAAACCGCCACCAGCTTGGGCATGATTCGTCCAAACAACCACCAGCACCGCAACTACACAATCGTCTGCAACCCCGGTAATTAATCGGCCGCAATGCAGTACTAGAGCTACCATGCTCGCGAGCACGCCAACCGCATGACCAAATCAACCTAGCTACCATCGGGTCCCCGTTCCATCTGCGGAGACGGACGGATTAA